CCTGAGGATTTCCTGCTGAAACTAGAAGTGCTCAAGCCATGCGGGGTGTGTGTGGGGAGGGGGGGGGGAGCTGCCACGTGATCGCTTCAGCTCTTAAATTTTAAGTCAAGGAAATGGAGACTAGAGCGCAGGACAAAAAACAGAAAGTAAATGAGTGAGGGACAGCTGTAAAGCCATTGTCAATCACTCTTCGTGAGAGAGGGAGAAAAACAAAACTGTCTTTTTGTGGGGGAAATTTGGCACATCAATAAAATAGAAATAAATAAATGAACAAAATGTAAGTCCCAGGGGCAGAGGTAGCAGGAATCAGGATGAGTGTAAGGGCATAAAGACGTCAGCAGCCAGGAGGGAGCCAGCCTGGCCAGCTCTGAGGCTCAGACTCAGGAGGAAAGAAAACAAAACAAAAGGCTGGAAAAAAACAGAAACTCTTTCTCTTGATAGGTCCTGAGTTGAATCCCCAGAACCTTATGGAATCTCAGTGCTTTGTAAACAGGACTCTGGGGCTTGCTGGACAGCCAATCAAGATTCAGTAGGATATGCTGTATTAAAAAACAAGGTGAAGAGTAACTGAGGAATATAACTGATGTACCCCCCCCCACTTCCACACACACACACACACACACACACACACACACACACACACACACTCCTAACCACAAAGGACTTGCTATCTTTTTGGCTGGCGGAGATGGTCAAGTGGACTGGTGCAATCCTGCTGGTACCAGTAAGGTACTACCATACCTGTAGCAGAACCCTGCCACCTTGGACTCCCACTATCCTTTTTGTCCCAGATCCACTTCCTCTGTTTTCTCTTCCTCCAGTACTCCAAGTGTCCTGATTAGTCTAATGTCACCTCGAGACACACTGAAGTTAATTGGGAAGGGGGACTCTTAATAGGAAAGATAACTGTAGTATGTATCTATAATTCTACTTAGTACATTCTATGGTTCTACCAAGCACGCTGACATCACCTCGCTGAAAATCAAACTAGCAGCACATGGAAATTTTAAAAATGCAAATCTTCTTTTATTTCTTTAACTGTATCCTGGAGATGAATTCATACATGTATAAGATGATATGTGCTTGAGACCATTTGGTTTCAGCATTGTTTACAAATAGAAAGGACTGAAACCACCTAGTTGGCCATATGTAGACTATGCTAAGTAAATCTGCATAATGAATATTATGCATCTATGAATAGGAAATGGGCAGACCTGCCTTCACTTCAAGGCCAATGTCCTGCCCAACTTACAACTCTAGGGTGGCACCTACCTGAGCTCTACAGTTAATGCCCTGACCCTCGGGACTTAGTTATTGGGTGGGATTCTAGAAGGCCTTTACCTGAAAAGCAAAACGGGCAAGAAAGAAGAGCGAGACCAAGCTAAGTCTTGTCAAGGTCTGTTTATTGAAAGAAGGCTACTTCTTTTTAAGGCAGTCTTATCAGGAAGCAGGCAGGCAGGGCGGGGGGGGGGGGGGGGGGGGGGGGGAGTCAGCCTCAGCAGGCCTGGAAAAGGAACATCTTGCAGTTTCTCTCTGGAAGTTCCAGCCTGCCTGTCTCCGGCAAGTTAACCCACTTAATGAACACACACACACACACCAATTATAGAGACTAACCAACTGCCAGTGAGACATTTGGGAAGTTGCCCACAAATATGAAAATCGTGCCTACTTGTTACAAATTGCTGCTCAGAATGGAAGACTATAATGTGTTCTGTAAACAGTTTCTCGTTGTAAGGGCGATGGGGCATTTACTCCTGTTACACAGTTGGTAAGAAGCTTGTGAAGACAAGTGAACATGACGTGTTGTAGAAAGCAGTGAGGCCTTGGCAACCTCTTCAGGCTGGCGCTCTTAATGACTACCTACATATGTGAAAGAAAATGAAGTAAAGCATGGGTTTATTTAATGCCCTCAGAAAAGTAAGTTGGAGAGAATAGCTAAAGTAATGTACAGAACTACAGGGTTTTTCTTTCCTTTTTTTTTTAAATTCTTTATTAATTACACTTTATTCACTTTGTATCCCCCCTGTGGTTCTCTCCCTCCTCCCATCCTAATCCCTCCCCCTTCCTCCACCCTCTGCATGCATACCCCTCCCCAAGTCCACTGAGAGGGGAAGTCTTCTTTTCCTTCCTTCTGACTCTAGTCAATTAGGTCTCATCAGTCGTGGCTGCATTGTCTTCTTCTGTGGCCTGGTAATGCTGCTTCCCCCCGAGGGGGAGGTAATTAAAGAGCAGGCCAATCAGTTCATGTCAGAGACGGTCCCTGTTCCTATTACAATGGAACCCACTTGGATATTGAACTGGCATGGGCTATATCTGTGCTGGGGTCTTAGGTTATCTCCATGCATAGACAAAAAAGATGGACATCAGAAGAAGGAGAAAAGAGGGAACAAGTCAGGAGCCTGACACAGAGGACCTCTGAAAGGCTCTACCCTGCAGGGTATCAATGCAGATGCTGAGACTTATGGGCAACCTTTAGGCAGAGTGCAGGGAATCTTAGGAAAGAAGTGGAAAACAGTAAGATCTGGAGAGGACAGGAACTCCACAAGGAGAGCAACAGAACCAAAAAATCTGAGCACAGGGGTCTTTCCTGAGACTGATACTCCAACCAAGAACTACAGGTTTTTAACCATGGTTAAAAATACATCATGGAACCTCCACCAATACATAAATGTGTTTTCACTGTTTTAATTACCATATTGGGAACAGCAGTGACAGGCTAGTGATGATCCTTCTGTGAACAAATTCACCAAAGACCAAAGACAGAAAAAGATGGTTTAAAAAGATAACTGCCAAAGCCTTGGCGGGCAAGTTCTCAGAGAAATTATCACACCCACTGGAAGGGAAAGCCTCTTTTTACAGGATTTAAAGAACTGTTAGCCTGTCTTCCTGGCTGAGACACTTGGTGGGTGGAGCTCATGAGTGGTCAGATAGGCAGACATCTCATTATTTTGTTGAGAAATAAATTTTACAGTGTAGCTTGTCACTTCTTGGCACTGGCTACCCGTGCTAGGCACTGCAGCTAGTAAGTATCAGGCTTCTGAAAATCCGAGGCTGCTCAGTCAACAGTGGAATCCTCTGCAGTGGTGTCAGGGTGCCTTAAGACAATTTGCAGTCACAGTGCTAAGATTAACTCTGTCTAGTCCTGCTCAGAGGTGCCAGGGCCTTGCTCTGAGTCCAGCCCATTATGATACAAAAGCAGCCTTGTCCCTGGTTGAACTCTGTGCAGCCATGTATAACAGAATGTGCCCTTAGTAATAAACAATGGGATTCTGCTTAAATGAAGCATAATCTAGCCTGTCCAGTGCCACTACTGTGATTGACACAATAAAGTTATAACTAACAGTAATTATACTTTTCTGATAATAATGCCTCTTTAATTGGTTTTGGCTTGCCTTACTAAGGACCCTGACGACTTTTATAGCAGAATGAGAGAAAGAGAAAGGAAAGAACAGAGATGGGATGAAGAAAATGGGAGGGGGGTCACTATGAGAACATTGTGCACAGGCTATGTGGACTCTTACTGCAGCTACTAAACTGAACCTATATGATGGATTAAAGATGGCTAAGACACAGTACATGAAGTGAAAATGTTAACATGAATGGGGATTAAAAGCTAAATGTCAGAACTATAAACATAAAAATCCAAACCAACAATAACCGTGGCTACTGCTGGTGATGGGACTGAGGAGGAATAAGCATGTTCTCATCTTTGACTTTTTTGACTTTGGCATTGTCTGGGTTTTCTAAAATCCAGAAATAATGTGGCTTTTAAATGTTTTTAAGATAGGCATTTTCACTATTTAATGGCATTTGTCTTATCAGTGTTTCTGTTTAAAGTTTGTTGTATGTGTTCCATAAATGCATGAAATTCAGATTATGAGATCCAGTACTTTCAAGAACTGGATCTCAGGAAAGCCCCAGTCGGCTCCTCTGTGGCTAGGAAGAGGTAGAACACTGAGGCTGGGAGTTCTAGACCAGACCATAAGTGTCTCAGGTGGGTCCACTCATGAAAACTGGCCAACTAGCACCTTCCTCACCAAACCTTCATTCCCGCCCTCCTGCCCAGGAAATTACGCAGGGCCTGCATCCTTGTCCCTGGTTTCTCTTGCAGTCGGTTCAATATTCTTTGGGGAGGGTTCACTGAGGGGCAGCAAGAGAGGAGAGGAGGAGCTTTGTAGTCTTGGTCAGGGCGGCAGCTCACTCCCTTCATGTGGATCTAACAGCTGACTGAGCATGGGATGGACTGGCTTATCAGGAGAAGCAAGTAAGCAAATGAACTCCTCAAGGATTTTTAGATAATCACCCAAACTCTAAAGAGAAAATGCACAGTAGGTAAGAATGTATGAAATCTTTTTTTTGTTTTTGTTTTTTGTTGTCGTTGTTGTTTGAGACAGGCTGTCATGTATTCCAGGCTGACTTCAAACTTACTATGGAGCTAAGCTCCTGCCTCTATCCAATAAACACTGGAATTACAGCCTGTACTACCACACCTGACTTTTCAGTGTTAAACTCTTAATCAAGAAAGTAGACAGAAACTTGCTGTGTTCAAACTCCAGCATGTTGAATTGGCTGGTGCTGTTAAAAAGAAGTTATAGCTAACACTAGAAACCAAGCAAAAAGTATGAGCAGACACAAATGCAAAAACATATTTCTATAGTCAGTGTGCTGGTTAGTTTTGTCAAGTTAACACAATTTAGAATCACTCGGAGATTAGGCTGGCGGGGACCTTGTCTACAAGAGATTGTCTCAATTATGTTAATCAAGGTAGGAAAGCCTAGCCTTTGTGGGTGGCTCCATCCCCTAGGAAGAGGACTCTGAAGGTGTAAGAGAGGGGAACTCTGGCCAGGAACTAGCATGTATGCATTGATTCTTTGCTCTCCACTCCTGACTGGGTGACTCGCTGCTTCAAGTTCCTGCCACCCTGACTTCTCCACAGTGACAGAATTGAAAGCCAAATAAATCCTTTCTTCCATACATTTTGAAAGCCCGAAATTAGCTTGTGAGACTTCAAAGCAGAAATTCGAAAAAGGTGCTGTGAGCAGACAGAATACCATGCTGATGGTTTACTAAAGCATGGCATCATTTCACCAAAAAAACCTGGGAGAAAATGTCAGCCTTCAAAAACCACAGATGACCTGGATGAACCATGTGGGCCATCATTCGAACCCTCCTTCTACTAACGCACAGTCCTGAGGCCTGACTTCCCAGGTTTGTACTGCGGGGCACTTTCCATTCAAGATGCTCACCCAGCTTTCTAGCAGACATTTCTGTCTCCTACAGTCTCCACTGTGGTTGTTTTCATACACCTAAGTGTATGATATGTGTATCAATGCTTTTCCATTTTCAACCTACTGGGCAGTTTTGGAGGCATAAATAATAATGATAAATATTTGGTGTGAATCTTCTGGTGACCTGGAGGAAGTTTTAGCTTGACTCAGTTTGATACAAAGAGGAGAGGGATATAAAACATGCCCTAAAATTTGGCTAGGCCCAAAAAACGGGAAAAGTGAGAAATGAGATGTTGAGTATGATTGTTTATCTTCACTGTTAACTTGACTGGATTTTAAATCACCTGGGAGACACAATTCTGGGCATGTCTGTGAGGGTAAACCCAGATAGTTTTAATGCAAGAGAGAAGATTCATCCGGATGTGAGCAGCAGCATCCCACAGTCTGCGGTCCAGGAATTAATTAAGTGGAAAAAAAAGTGGAAGCCAACTAGAACATCAGCACTGACCCTTGCTTCCTGCCTGCTAACACAGCACAACCAGCTGTTTCACGTCTGCCCCATGCCTTCTCCACCATGTTTCAGCTCAAACCATGAACCCAAAAATCCATTCCTTCCTCAAGTTGTTTTTCTCAGTTGTTTGTTTGTTTCACAGCCCTGAGAAAAGTAACTGATACATTAAACATTACAGAATCAACATCAACTGTGTCATCGTTTGTTGTGCTGGCAAGTTTAAGTCAACACAACATTTGGGAAGATGAAACCTCACTTTTGGTGAGTGATGTGGGAAGGGCCTGGTCACTGTGGGTGGAGCCACCCCAGGGCTGGTGGTCCTAGGTGCAGGCTGAGCAAGCCTTTAGGAGCAAGCTAGGAAGCAGCACTCCTTCATGGCTGCTGCTTCAGCTCCTGTCTCCGGGTTCCTGCCTTGTACTCGTACTCCAGCCTAGACTTCCTTCAGTGATACAGTGTAACAAATGAGTTCTAAGTGGAAATGAAAACCCTACCCATGATAAGTTGCTTTTTGCCATGCTGTTTCTCACAGCAATAGAACCCCTAACTAAATATTTTGTTCTATGAAGATAAGATTGCTTTTGCTTTAACTAACTGAAAACTGAACAACTAAATGTGCCCTAATGGAGTTTTTTTGGGCAGGGAAGTCTTTCTATGTCTGCAGAAGGTGCTTGAGGCATCCTTGCCATATGCTCCATCCTCATAAAGACACATGGAATCTCCTATGCGAACTCATTGCAGTATGGAGTGTGTTGTGCTGACTCAAGTGTGTTGAGTGAATGAGATGCACACACGAACAGTCCACGCTAGAGCTTCTTCAGAAATGCAGCTTTTCAGAGCTTTGAAGGTAATTACATCAGTCCCTGTAGTAAACGTTTACTAGCACCCAAACACAAGGCAAGAGAGGGGAGCCAAGACCTCAGGGATCTGACCAAAACATGATTCATGATGACAAACAAATGGTAAGAAGGGTGCACTTCAAAGTCTGGAACCATCTGCACAAGAGGAAAATGTGTGGGCTAAGGGCGACTGTTCTGGAAGGCCTTGTAAACCCAAAGAGTGGGAACAAAACACCTCAGTGCTACCTCATCCAGAAAACAACCCCCTATCCTCCTACTATTAAGTCTTAATCTAGTCTTTTCGAACGCAAAAGGTAATTCACCTCAGCCAGACTATCACATCTAACACTGGTGTGTATTGGCAACACCTAGGCCCCTCCGCAGTTAGTAAGGGCTGCATGGTGTCCTCGGCTCCCTGTCACGGAAGCACCAACTCTGGCAGAGGTGGTACAGATCAGCGCGAGGCAGTTTTTTTCCCCACATGGCTTCTCTGATGTTGAACAAGGTATGAAGTTCGGCTAAAGCCTTTTCCACACGCATCGCACTGATAGGGTTTCTCGCCAGTGTGGATTTTTTTATGTTCGATAAGGCTTCTATTCCGGGTGAAACTTCTCTCACACTCATCGCACGGATAAGTCTCGGGAGCTTCGGCGCCATCCCACTGGCGTTGCAACCTACTCTGACCTTCCAAGGCCTCTCCCTGCAGAGGCTTGTGAGCAGTTTTATCACCGTGGGTCCTCTGATGTCGCAGGAGATGTGAGCTACGCCTAAAGGCCTTGCCACACAAGTTGCACTGGAATGGCTTCTCTCCAGTGTGAATTTTGTGATGCTCCAGGAGGCTGCAGCTCTGAGTGAAGGTTTTCCCACAGTCATCACACTCGTAGGGCTTCTCCCCAGTGTGGGTTCTCTGGTGCTTGATGAGGTTTGAGCTGTGACTGAAGACCTTGCCACATTCTTCACACTCATATGGCTTCTCGCCAGTGTGAACTCTCTGATGAATGACAAGGGCAGAGCTCCCAATGAAGGTCTTTCCACAGTCGTCACACTCATAGGGTTTCTCTCCAGTGTGGATTCTCCTATGTTTGGTCAAGCCTGAACTCTGAGCAAAACTCTTTCCACATTCACGGCAATAAAACCGCCTATTTCCCGTGGCAGTCTTCTGCGTTGTCTGTAACCTGCCTTCCAGCTCACTGGCTTCTGCACCTGCAGGAACGGGGACAGTGTCTTCTTCACCCAGGAAGCACACTGTCTGCTCAGGCTTTTGCTCAGTGTATTCCTCAGCTGGAGGCAAGTCGCTGGTCTCAGTCTTCATTCCCAGCCCTGAAACACAATTGCCAGCAGGTGTCAGTTATGCTTTGCAATGGAGAAAGCTCTGAGGAAAACAGCAAGGAGGCAAAAGTTACAGAGCTTGCCTCATGCCTAGAACAAGTATTTGCATGCAGGAATAGGGTGGGAATAAAAGGAAGAACCGGAATGCTGGGGAGGAAAGAAACTTGCCAATGAATTGGAATTAAATGGAAAAACAGTAAGAGGGGAGAAGACCATGATACAGAATGGCCAACCAGTGAATAAAAAAATTCCTAAAAACCATTTAATTCAACATGAAAACTCTAAAACTTTTGTACTTTATAAGTCCTTTTCATTGGCTAGAATAGTAAACTCTAAAAATATTTTTTTCTGCATTCCTCTCTTTTCTAGGGAGGTTTTACCCAGAAGCCTAAAGAAAGGAAGCACTGTGTTATGATCCACGGGTGAGGGCATGGACCCTAAGAATAGTAAGGCTGAGATACACACCTAAGATTAAATGTTTTCCAAATAGCGATAGGACAAAAGCAACATAAATCAAGTAAAAGTATTTCCGAAACATGTTATAAGAACCTAGAAAGTAAGGACTCCCAGGAATCCATCGCTGGTCCGTGATATGCACTGTCACTCTGTTCTTCTTACTCAAGGCAGAGCCAGTACCTCACAATCACTGACAAGGGAGTTCTAAGCTGGAGGCACCCATCAAAGGACTCTGTGGCCTCTGATAAGCCACCTTACCCTCTGTGATTTGCCATGCTCGCCTCTAAGGTCAAGGACTGTAGTCAGCATCTAAAGTTACTTCTAGACTCCCAACTATGCTTTGTGGCCCACTTCCTGAAGTGTCCCCCTGGCCTCCATTCCCTGCCAGCGTACAGAATGGAAAGGGGTCAACATTTACTGAGAGTTTATGCGAGCAAGACTCTTCCCAAGGGTTGAATCTACTTCATCCCACTCAAACCAACCATAACACCAGCACGGTAGAAAACAAAGCGAGGATAAGAGGGTTTTAAGAATTAGTTACACAAATAATCACTAACCGGACTCAGAAATGGTAATTCTGAAAACAAAAACAAAAACAAAAACAGGCATCTGCTTCTAAGAGTCAAACAGCTTCTATCATGCAAAGAAAAAGATACTGGGAGCTGATAGTGCTTGCTAGGTTTTTTCAAGGAAACTAGGATAACAGAGTTCTCCTGCCTTTCATCTCTATAGAAATTCATCTGACATGAGTCTGCTCTTTCCACCCAAGTTAGAGGATCAGCAACCCTAAAACAATAACTAATCCCACTGGTACCTCCTTTTCATATTCCCAAACTGAGGTACATGCAAAGTCACATACAAACTGTTTAAAGGGGGTCTCAAAAGGGGGCAGGTATTTTAAGGCATATCTCTATCTATTTAACTCTACACAAAACTAACCAGGTACAATGGTGCATGCCTGTAATCCAAGCACCTGAGGCTCTAAACAATGAAGATCTCAGTTCATGTCCAGCCTGGGCTATACAGAGAGACCTTGTCTCAAAAAAACCCAAACTGTCAAAGATAAGAAATACTGCATGAACTAAGGTAAGGGCTTTCCTGTGGCTATATGAATGGTAAGAACTACTCCAAGAATAAGTACCTTCATATGAATATATAAATGGTCCAGGAAATGAAAAAGCTTAGAAAACAAATTTCCAAACTTCCAAATACGTGTGGTTTGCTTTCTTAAAATGAAGGTGAAGGCTCATTGCGTTAGGTTTTTGTTTCTTTGTTTGTTCTTTTGCTTTTTGTTTTTAATAAAATAAAATCTGGGTCTGGGGTGAGAAGAAAAAAAAAAAAACAGGAGAAAAAGGAAAGAAAGTACCATCCCAAACACCGATAACTTCAAGCAAGACATGAAAAACTAAATGAATATGAAAATCTAGATTATATAATCATACTTTAGTAGCCCCAAATGACATGCTGTATCTATCCCCTTCAACTATACGTCTTTGAGAGCAGAAGCCTGGCTTTTAGGTCCTTGGCTGAGATTATTCTTTATTATACTTTAAAACAACAAAGTAAAGCTTCAGCAGTGACTGAGTGGCAGGGTGCTTACCCAGCATGTGTAAAACCGTCAGCTGAAGTCCCAACAGTGCTAAAAACAAGCAAAGCCAAACATTTAAACTACCATTAATATATATATAGAGAGAGACCCTTTAATTTGATTTCCTGAATTGTGCTTGTTAAAAAAGAAACCCCACCAATGAGGAGCCTGTTCAAAGCGATGGGTTAGAAGAGATCTGAGAGCACAGAGGATCCTCCAAGGCAGCCAGAGAACAGAAACGTCCTCGAGTGAGCTCAAAATGAAGACTTACGCTGTTACGAAATGATGAGAAAGTCTAGTGTAAACCTAGGATGAGGGTGGAGAACTGCAGAGAAAAAGATTGTCTTGACAGCTGTTTTACAGCTGTGAAGAGGCATCATGACCATGGCAACTCTTACACAAGAAAGCACCTAATTGGGGCCTTGCTTCCAGTCTCAGAGGGTGGTTAGTCCATTATCATCACAGCAGGGAGCATAGCAGCAAGCAAGCATGGTTTCAGAGCAGTAGCTGGGAACCATATCCTGCTCTGTAAGCAAACAGAGAGACCCTAGGCCTGTAGTGGGCTTTTGAAACCCCAAAACCCACTCCTAGTGACATACTTCTTCCAACAAGGCCACACCTCCAAATCTTTTTCAAATAGTGCCACTGCCTGATGACAAACCACTCAAATATATGAGCCCATTGGGGCCATTCTTACTCAAACCACCACAGGGACCTGAAACGGAAAGACCACCAATAAGGAAGACACTGACTGTTGAAAGGGGGAAGAGGTTCATCTGGGGCTGTGGAGCAGACCTGGTGGCTGCCATAGAATCTCCTCTGCTCCGGCACCCACGAGGCTAGCCCAGCTAAGACAGAAGGAAGCTCTGGATCTACCCTGGGATGTAGCCTCCACGTCTTGCAAGGTTAACAGGCTTTATTTATAGCAGTTCTATGATGTCTGGGTCTGGTGGTCTGCATAAATGGCTTCCATAGTCTGGTATGTTTGGAGTCTTGGTCCCCAGATGGCAGAACAGTTTGGGAAGGACTAGGAGGTGTGGCCTTGTTGGAGGAGATGTGTCACTGGGGTGGACTTTGGGGCGTCAAAAGCCTATACTACTGCCAAGTAGTTCTCTCTGCCCCATGCTTGTGGATGAAAATGTAAGTTCCCAGCTTTGTCTCCAGTGCTGTGCCTGCTTCTCTGCTGCCATACCCCGCCATGATGGTCATGACCTCTAACTCTCTGAAGTTGTCAGCAAAACCCCAATAAACTCTTTCTTCTACAAGCTGCCTTGGTCACTGTGTCTTATCATAGCAACAGAAAAGTAACTAAGACCCTGGGATAGCCTGGCTTCACAAATTCTACTTTATTTTCTTGGTAGCACTATTGAAGACCCAAAATCGCACTACTGACTTTCTTTTATCTATCTTGTACCAGTAGAATTTAATATGTATCAGAGCAAAAATTCAGTTTTACTGATTGCTCTATTCCTAGTGCCAAACAACAATGGGTACGGTAGAGAGGCCTCCAAAAATACACACATATACACACATACATGTTAAATATTCAGAGAACAGTATGTTGCAAAGGTAGATTAATTCTTTCCAGAGATCAATTTTAATTACATCTTACCATTCACAGGACTGGTTAAAAAAGTTTTCTGTTTTGTTTGTTTGTTTGTTTGTTTGTTTTCATCTCAGTTTTAGTCTTAGAATTGATTGGTGGTAGGCATAGAAAGTCACTGTCAAAAATCTTTTGGGTGACCATTGAACAAAACGAAATGAAGTCTTTGTAATAATTCATACAGTGCAGTACTGGGAATGTGGTGCCTCAGTGTAGCAGTCTCCCCAGGCATGTGCAGGGCGCTGAGTTGGGTCTCTCCTCTCTTTCACTCCACACCCTTACACACACACACATACACACCCTCACAAACATCCTCTCACCTCTGGCTTGTAAGGGTGAACGCTCCAAAGACTCCTGAGATTCATGCTTGAACAAAGACTTCATTGGCTGGGACTGGATACCTTGTGAGTCCTGGGCTGGCGTCAGCAATGCCACCTTGCAGCAGAGAAGTTCTCGGCTCCATTCACCAGATGGGACCTAAAAAGTCATCCGTTTCCTGTCATTTATTCAATGAAACCTTCCCATCACACTTAGTGTGAAGACTTCTAAGAGCATCATGAAAATACAAACTCACTGAAATACAGTCGGCCCTGTGAACTACGGAATTGTTTGGAATTTTGTGACTTGAAACTGAGGCCCAGTTTAAGCGGCTTGTGCGTGCCATCCAGATCCTAAGTAGTGATGCTATAACAAGAGCTCAGGCAGATCACTGCAGAGCCTACGTCTGAACCCTTACTTTGTTCTTGTTTCGTACCTCTGTTTATAAAGCTGATGGAAAGAAAAAAAATCTATTTTTTAAAAAAATCAACCTGTTATCTGAAAATTAAGCATAATAATTTCTACCCAACAGGATTTTTAAAGAAACTAACAAATTTAATTGCAGCATGTGGAACCAATTAACAAGAGACCATAAGCGGTGGTACGTCCTCATTAAAGTCTAGTTTCCTTGCAAGCATCAATAGTAGGATGATGCTCAAATTTCCTACATCTTTTACAGAAAATCCAGTTCTACCGCTGGAGAGACAGCTCCATGTTTGCTCTTGCAGGGGTCCTGGGTTCAACTCCCAGCAAGCACGTGGTGGCTCACAAGCATCTGTACGCCCTCTTCTGGCATGAGGGTGTCCATGCAGTGGTTAATTCAGAGACCCATACAGAACTGGTCAGAGGTGAGTGGGTTGAAGAGCTGAGAATAACTTACTATTGAGTACTTCATCCTTAAACAGGACGTTTACACCAAGCCCTACAAACCCAGGGCTCATGGAAGATAAGGCAGAAAGAACATAAGAACCTAGGGTGGGGAAGAATAATGCAAAGTGCTACCTTCCGGAACAGACATGACTCATGAACTCAGTGTGGCTGTGGCTTGATCTTGTGCACAGACCAAGACAACAATCAGTCAGTGTTCCACAAGCGGCACTAACTTAGTAGGTTACAAGAGGAGGGTTGTATGTAGGAGAGAAGGGCCATGTGGAGACTGGGGGAGACTGAAAGAGGGATTTGGGTCAATATTATAGAGACACATTGTTGATATTGTTGTTGTGTCTGAAGTTCCAAAAAAAAAAAGAAAGAAAGAAAAAGAAAACGATTTGGGTTTTTTGGTAGTTTTGTTGTTGTCGTTTTGTTTTCTGTTGTGTTTTTAAGGCCAGAAGATGGAGGTTTAAACCAACCTGTTTTCTACCAGAGGCTCAAACAAGGGGTCCATGAATTTGGATAGAAAAAAAAAAAAAAAAAAACCACAAAACTTTATAGATTCTAGATTCTAAGAAAACTATTTCCCTCCATTGTCACACCTTGATAAGCTAAGAAAACACCTACAAAGTCGTTTGTGCCAATGCCACTGTGCTCAAACGCGTACTTGTGTCTTAACACACGAGTTAAGGAAGTACATACATAAACGTTCACCACCTGCTCAGCACAGTCTAGCTTCACTAGGACTGAGTTCTTCCACAACACTTGTATTTTCCTTTACGCACTGAACTATTCTGAGCGGGTCCAGTTACTTCTCGGGATCTAAGCAATGACCCCCTTGGATCTTGCTTTGCACAGGGCAAAGGTCTCAGACCTGTGGAGGAGTCTCATCCAGCTGCCTCTCCAAGTACTCCAGCAGCGCCACCACCTCCTCCCCGCTGTCGGGGTGCTGCTCCCGCACCCAGGCCTGCAGCTCCCCTGGCAGGATGGTCAGGAACTGCTCCAGCACCAGCAGCTCCAGGATCTGCTCCTTGCTGTGCATGTCAGGCCGCAGCCACTGTCTGCAGAGCTCGCGGAGCCGGCTCAGCGCCTGCCGGGGTCCGGCCGCCTCGGGGTATCGGAAAGCACGGAAGCGCTGGCGTGAGCGGTCGGGCCCAGGGCTGCCCAGCCAACTGGTCTCCTCTGCCAAGGGGGAGGCCTCTTCCTGTTCCACTTTCACCACCAGAAGCCCAATCTCCTCTTCTGCAGATCTAGAGGATAGGGCTGCGTTCTCTCCTGGCTCTCTAGCCATTCTGGGCCAAGCCAGGGCTCACGCTAGCTGCAAGATGTGGATCTGCAGAAGATTCTTGGAAGATGGGAACTCGGTATGGATGTCTCCTCCCTCCCCTCGTGCCCCGGACACCCAGAGGCACAACTGCACAGCTGTCACCTACAACCCTGGCCTTTGCGGAGCCCTCCTCTGCACCCCGCTCTGAACCCGCAGTGAATATTCTAAGGAGTGCTCCGGGACAGACAGAATCCATCCAGACACTGTCTGGAGCACAGAAAGCATTGTGGGAACGCAAGCCGTTTCCTGGGCTCTCTAGGATGCTCTTCTCGATGGTGTTCTCCAAATTAACCCATTATTGTTGGGGAAAGGATTATAGACCCCGGGGCACACTGGAGTCTAGGTTTAAGCCCAGGAAGTAAGTTACCCGAGGTCTTTCGTTCTTCACAGTTGTCGCAATGCTGACACGAAAATTCAGCCTGGAAGTAGACTTTACGGAAGGCAAAGGTGGGAAATTGTAGGAAAATTGGTATCTCTTAGAAACCCTGAAACACTTGCCTGGAGGACCCGGTGCCTCTGGTCCTGCCCTCTTCTTGCTGCTCCCTTTCCTCTCTCTCCAGGCCAAACTACTTGAGAGAAAAATCCTCCCGAGCATGACTCTAGACCCTGCTTACCACTACTTCTTAACACACTATAGACACGAAAAGCGCCAGTACAGCCACGACTACGGCACCTACCCAAATAACTAGAAATTCCCAACTCTTTTGTGCTCTTCAGCAGCAAAGCTTGTGCATGGCAAGCATCCAAGCTGCCTCTCTGCACTTCCAGAAATTCTCTAGTCCCAGCTTTATGGACACCCAATTCCTACTTTGTAAAGAAATTTTAACTTAGAACATGGTTGCTCTGGCAAAAGAGCACATTCAAAGACCTTCTAGCTTTGTGTGCTACAAACACACCTTTAATCCAGAAGACAGAGGCAAGCAGATCTGAGTTCAAGACCAGCCTGGGATAGAGCAAGTTTCAGATAAAGAAAACCTTGGGTACAAGCGTGGTGGTACATGCCTTTAATCCCAAACATTGAAGATAAAGTTAGTTTGTAGAAGGAAGCACTCATATATGAAAGTGATGTTTAATTGAGTGTCAGAAACAGTGACGAATCGGAGAAAGACTTGACGGAATAGGATATATCCAACTCTCAGAAGAGAAAGGAAAGGGAAGCTACTTAATGGGAAATGGTGAAAGAAAGACAGAGTTTTACTGGGACAGATATACAGAGGCAGGTGGAAAAGAGAACAAGCTAGACATAGGTGAAGACAGAAGGAGCCAGAGAATGAGAAGGAGCCAGAAGATTAGAAAAAAATTGCTTTCAGTTATTTTGTGGCCAGTCAGAGCAATTCACAGACTGAGGAAGAAGCCAGATTGAGTAAATCAGCTGGGAGAGGAATTTGAGCCAGACAGCTGAAATGCACCAGCCATCCAAGAGCTCAGAAAGAACAAGAAAGGATGAGTTTATTAAGGTGTAACCCTCAGAGGCTGAAAGCATTTAGGTCTAGGTTAGATTGTATAGAGGCTAGAAGCTTCCAGGACTAGCTAACTCTGACTAGGTTAGCAGACAGAGGCAGTAATCCTCTGAGACAGCAATTGAAACAGGCAAATAAAAGTTCCTTTTACTTATGGCCTCCAGTTCCTTTTCTACTCTTTCATGCCTTCCTGTTTCTCTACAGCCTTGACTGACACACTAGCACAAGGGTTAGATGCAGAGGCTCCCATACCTGAGAAAGGTGGACTGTCATTAATTAAAAGAAACCCAATAGACTGCTCAGCCAGGTTCAATGATAAAACAAACAACTGTTGTGATGGGGCTAGTGCAGAGGTTCCTCCATCTTATATTCTTCCTGAGGTTGTTTCCAGGTTTAACTGGAATCTGATCTCTTTGGAGTATCCCATGGAAAACTACCCAGTTCTGTTCTAGGAACTAAAGGTGAGGATGTCCTAGCTAAATTTAACCTTTGTTGAAATTGCTTGTTCGTGTGGGAAGCCCCTCCAGCTAACCCTTTATCTTAACTGTCTGTTTGTATGGAATCCCCCTCCAGCTGGCTAACTGCTTATCATAGCTTCTGTTAAAACTGCTTGCTTTAAACTGCTTGCTCCCCCAAACAGCTGTGGAGCAAAATGCTTCAATGAGGTCTCCGTCCTTAAAACACTCTGGGCCACACCTAGATGACCCATCCCCCACCAACACTTGGGTGTGGTCCCAAGCTGGCTGGAAAAAAGAATATGATTGGATGTACACTGTGTCTGAGAGGTCTTCTCTGGTAACTTACCATAAATCTGTAAAAAGATACAACTGAGACAATGGGAAAAACTAGAGCTCAGTAGAACTAAGCAATTATTGACAATTTAACTATTAGAATGGTACCACCATTCTTATAAGACTTATTTTTAATTAGTGTGTCTGTGTGTGTGCTATATGTACGCTGGTGCTTGAAGAAGACAGACAAGGATGTGAGGTCCCCCAGAGCTAGAGCTGCAGGCAGTTGTGACTCAACACAGTTCCTGTCACAGTTAGGGTTTCTATTGCTATAACAGCATGACCAAAAGCATCTTGGGGAGAGAAGAGGTTATTTGGCGTACAAGTTCCAATCACCGTCCATCATGAAGTCAGGACAGGAGCAGAAGCGGAACCCTTGGAGAAATGCTGCTTTTTGGCATGCTGTCCTGGTTTATCTGGGTTGCTTTCATATCTCTCCCAGATTGCCTGTGTGAGGGTGGCACAGTCCACAGTGGGTCTGAGCTCCTTCACGTCAATCACCAGTCAAGAAAATACCGCACAGACTTGTCTACAGGTTGGTCTAATAGGGTCACTTTTCAATTGAGGTTCCCTCTTCTTAGATGGCTCTAGTTTTGTCAAGTTGGCAAACAAACAAACAAAACCTAGCTAACAGAGGTCCTCTGCAAGAACAGCAAAGAGTCTTAACTACGGAGACATCTCTCCTGCCTCTCTATCATTGTTTAAAATTATTCATTAGAAGTTTATATTGAAATCCTCATAAAGATAAGTGAGCCGATCCATGTGTGAGATTTGCTAAAGCAAATACTTAGGGGAAACAAATAAGAAAACAAATAAAATAATGCAAACACGGTAATTGCTGAAGCTGGGCGAGAGGCATATGGGATTCATTGTAATGTTCTTTGTACACTTACAAAAAAAAAAAGTTTCCATAGTATTTTTCTTTTTAGTTAAGTAAAATCTATCTTTCTTCTTTAGTGAATAATTCAGTCCAAAAAATTACTAAGTAGGACTAATAGAGACCGGAAAGGAGATGGCAGTTCAGCCCAGAGTGAAGCCCCATTCTGGTTTAGGCAGTTGTGTATCTTGTCAATTTGAGTGGCTTCAGAAAAACCTATTGAGATTGATAAACCATACTCCTTCTATACTGTGGTCATGAACACTTTTTTCCCACAAACAGAATAATGTCTTAATGGATTCGGAATATGATGACCTAATTGAGGTGGGGGTGGAAAATGGGAGGCAGAGCCTAAGTGGAAGAAGTAGGTCTTTGTAACTTCCTCTGTCTCCCCCTCCCTTTTTTTCTTTCTAGTTAGCTAACCTGTGCTATTGTGCCCGAATCGAGATACCCCAAAAGACCACCGCCAGGAGTTGAGTCCATTGCAAAACACGAGGATCTTTTTATTACAAATCATTACAAGCTGCAGCTTGGGCTCACACCCCCCACCGCCAAAGCGGGGAGAGCCGAGAGCCTTGTGCTCAGGTTAGTTGGGTGATTTAAAGATTCAGGTCCCTCCCAGCATGCCCAAAGCAGGGGCAATTCCTGCCTGGCAAGCATCTATTGGTCGAAATGCAAAAGGGATGTTGCATTTTGAATTGATTAGCTATAGGAAGGTCCCCAAACCATTAATGATCTAGTGTCCCTCCCTAGGGGGATGGGTCAGTTTCCTAACAACTTTATCTCTAATGGGCAGGAAAAGAATGCAGTAAGACTAGTTCTTCCCCTCAGGGCATTACTGGACTTGTCTCCAGCTAGCTAGCCTTAGTTTAGCCCTGTGCTTTAAACTTTAAAATAATAGTCACTGATTTTTAATCTTTTGGTCTCTCAATGCAGAGCCCCTGCCTCATACTACTGCCACCGTTCCTTTCTTGCCACAATGGCTTGAAATCCACCCAAAACCATGAGCCAAAACAAATCTTCTCTCCCAAGCTGTGTCTGTCAGGGATATTGTCAGAGGGGCACAGACTTAACTAATACACCAGAGGTATATCTCAAAGCTGTGATAAGCATCCGACAAGAGGCAACCTAAGAAAGACGCATCTGGGCTCTCCGTTGGAGGGTAGGTACAGCCCATCATGGCAGGAGCATAGCAGCAGAAGCAGCGTGAAGGAGCTTGGTCGTGTCTACATCCTGGCTTATCAGGAAGCAGAGAAAGATAAAGTCTGTTGGCCATCTGCCTCTCTTCTAATACTCATTTTATTTAGCCTGGGATTCTAGCCTATGGGTCAGCGCCACCCACAATCACTGTGTTTCTGCTCCCCTCAGCCAGTCCTTTCTGGAGATGCCAGCACAGACGCATTCGAAGGTGTCCAGAATTAGTGCCACAGTTATTTATTCATTTGTGAGGCAGGTGTGTGCGCACAGTTGAGCACGTCTCCTGACTGTGGAGGCCACAGAAAAGCCTTGGCTTTTAAGCTCCATTGGTCTGGGACTCACCAAGTAGGAGGGGCCAGCTGGCCAGCGAGCCTCAGGGATCTGCCTGTCTCCACTTCCCCAGCACTGGGATTACAAGAATCTTTACAGCAGTTCTGCAGATCAAACTCATCTTTCTCAGCAAGCACTTTTCTGACTGAACTGTGCTAACACAGCACGTGCACACACACACACACACACACACACACACACACACACTGCCTAATCTAATGAAATTAATTACCACACTAGTAGTACCATATAAGGACTGAGCCAAACTGAGAGGAGAAGATCTGTGGAAAATGATCATAAGCAGGAACAAGTAATTAAACAAGTAAATATACTAAAGACATTAGACCATTTTACTCTCTTGAAAGTTATAAATATTGAAAAAACTCAAAATGCATCCTGTAGGATTAGATTGGGATTTAAGATGTCAGTGTGAACTAAGGTCTCATTATCTATAGTTACCTACAGAAATAGGTATCCAGATGTGCTGTCTAGTTTTTTGTTTGTTTGTTTTTATCAACTTGACATCAGCTGGGATACCATGGGAAGTGG